ACAAAAATAGATTGGTAATGTCATGCCACAAACAGTGCCCCTTTTGTATAACTGTATCATGTCATGTCATGGACAAAAAGGGCAGTCACAATACTGTCATGGTTTTGCTGTTGTCGTGCCTAACTTAACCTCATTTCCAATGTGATAAATGCAATGATTTAAAGGGTCAAAAATCCACCCTCAACCAGACAAAGTTACCAGGGACTTGGGAGTAGTCTGTCTCTGATCTCACAGGGTTGTTGGGAGGTCCCTGTATAAAATGGTCTGAACTACTGGTACCACTTCTAGATGTTTGTCTGAATGGCCTTTCTCTGCTCCCCTCATTGTAGACACTAGAGATCAACACAGTTGTAGATTTTATTTTCTTTCTTACCAGAATCTTGGGATCCAACCAAAGGCAAGTGCCATATACTTGAGTCCAACAATTTGCTTCCAACTGGTGAAATTTCACAATCCTGTCCAAAAAGTCATTCCTGGTTCTTACAAATTGTCTGCACTTTAGCAACACAATGTTGCCGATATTAAAACAGGTGGAGTCAGAACTTTCAGTTACCTTTTGTTCTCAAAAAATTGAATAGACTAGAGCTGGAAGGGACCTTGGAGGTCTTCTAGTCCAACCTCCTGCTTAAGCAGGGGATACTATACCATTTCAGACAAGTCTCTTCTTAAAAACCGCCAGTGATGGAGCACCCACAATTTATGGAGACAAGTAGTTACACTGGTTAATTGTTCTCATTGTTAGGAAATTTTTTGTTCTAGGTTGCTTTTCTCCTTGATTAGTTTGCATCCATTGTTTCTTGTATTGCCCTCTGGTGCTTTGGAAAATAGGTTGACCTTCTCTTCTTTGTGGCAGCCCCTTAGATATCGGAACACTGCTACCATATCAGCCCTAGACCTTCTTTTCATTAAACTAGACATCTACATCTGTCTGTCTGTCTCTCTCTCTCTAAAAAACTAGATATACATACCTTAATCACACCTAAGGTTAAGGAAAACCTAAGGAAAACACAAGATGAACCCCAAGTTCCCTTCTATATATTCTTACATATATAAAGAATAGAGTTAGAAGGGACCTTGGAGGTCTTCTAGTCCAGCCCCCTGCTCAAGCAGGAGACCCTATACCAGTGGTTCTCAACCTTCCTAATGCTGGGACCCTTTAATACAGTTCCTCATGTTGTGGTGACCCCCAACAATAAAATTATTCCTAAAACCATTGAAAATATGTGTTTTCCAATGGTCCTAGGTGACCCCTGTGAAAGGGTCATTTGACCCCCAAAGGGGTCCCGACCCACAGGTTGAGAACCACTGCCCTATACCGTTTCAGACAAGTGACTGTCCAGTCACTTCTTAAAAACCTCCATTGATAAAAGCACCTACAACTTCTGAAGGCAACTTCTGTTCCACTGGTTAATTGTTCTGTCAGGAAGTTTCTCCTTAATTCCTGGTTTCTTCTCTCTTTGATTAGTTTCCATCCATTGTTTCTTGTCCTGCCCTCTGCTGCTTTGGAGAATAATTTGACCCACTCTTTTTTTTTGTGGCAGCCCTTCAAATATTGGAAAACCCGCCACTCTTTCTGCAACCAAAGGGAGAGGTGGGGGGTGAGAAAAAAACCAAAGCAAAATATGTCTAGCACATATTTCCTTGCACTCGGTAGAGATCTTCAACCACACTTTTTGTTTTTCTCCCAAAACGGGGTTATTCTGCCCTGCAATTTCTGGCGCTTTTACCTTGTGGTGCTTCAAGCAGCCCGGTCTCGCCATCCTAGCTCCTGGTGAGGGGGGGGTGTTCCCGCGAGGTCGCGCCGCGTCCCTAGACACGATGGGCAGCCCCAACGGCTCTTCGAGGGGGGAAGGGCCTAAGGTAGGCCCCGCCCATTTCCCCCCCATCGTCATTACGAGACGGCGGCCGACGGAGCGGGAACGGGGCGAGTGGGCGGGGAAATGGGATTACGCGTGCCGCTTATTGGTGGGAAACCGCGGTGACGTTGGGCCAATAGAAGCAGCGGTGTGCAAACTCGGTGTGCTTTTAGAGGCGGTGGCTTGTCCGTCCGAATATATATGATAGGAATATGAATTGTCCGGCTGAATATATATGGATGGATCTTGCTGTTATGTAGAGCCACAATGATTCGTATGTGTCCATTGAAAAACGATAGAAGTTCACGTCGTAATGCACTGAATGGTTGCAAAGCTATGGAGGTGCGAAGTTTTAGGAAGAATTCAGTCGGGCTACTGCATGCGAACATGCTGTTTCCCTTTAAGGGGCCAGGACGTTGTTATCCTTTGCCAAAAGATAAATTAGGTTGTTACCCAAAGCTGGGTTCTGTTGCTGTATGCTGTTGATTAGTGTACATTCAAAGTGAAAATAAAGTTATTCTAAATCTAAAGGCGGGTTCATAGGTTTCAAAGTGCTTCCCTTAATTAGATTAATCCAGAAAGCAATTCTTTTCAATATGTAAAATAAAGTGGTTTTGCTAATACTGAAACATACCATAAGATTGGTTTACCTTTTGTTAAAATCTAAATTGTCAGAGAACGTTTTTCTTAATGTTTCCACCTAAACTTTTGGGGGGAAGTTTGAAACAAAACGGTGTGTTCAAAAGTTAAATGTGCCCTCAAATCAAGCTTGATGCCTAGTGATTATATCCATGTGGATTTTTGACACCATTGGGAAATTGGTTTGCCACTGCCATTTTGGGGAATATTTTTTTGAACTTCCCAACAATGCTGGAATTCCCCATCTAAATACAAGTAATGTTTACTAATGTTTAACTTCTGAGCTAAACTACAGGCAGAGTGTTAAAATAAATGGTGTGCAGGTAGATGGCTGTAGCAGCAGTTCTTGAAAGGTTAAGCAGGTTAGATCTGGTAAGCCTGTGGATGGACAAACCCCTAGCAATGGGGCTGTAGGCTACAAAGCTGGAAAAAAAATAATTCTGGAACAATGCAGTGCTAAAAGCACATCTGAACTGCAGGGATGTGTCCATGAAGTCACTAGGAATTAAGCTTGACTTAAGGGATTTTGCTTTTTGCAGATGGACCTGTTTCCTTTCATTATTGACTGCCCCTTTTACTAGCAGACCACAGAAACTGAGCAGACTTCGGCAGGAGCACAAATGTGTGTGGTTTAGCAACTCAAATTCACCATTTAAGGAAGGGCCTAATGTGAATGAAATATCCCAAAGAAAGAAATGAAGAATCAGTAGGGATGATATTTCAACACCAAAAGCTTAAATATGTACCAGTAGATATTCTCCACAGGCACCCCCGACATGAGTGATGTCGACCTGGCCATGCCCACTGTGGCCACGCCCCATGCCCCCCCCAGGTCAAACCTCAATTAAATCGAGTTTGACACCCCTGTAATAGAAGGAGCTTCCTGGAAGTAAAGATAGGGATATAAATCCCTATTTGTATAGTCTGAAATACTGAGACCAAAAGATGAAAGAAAAATTGGGCATTATTACAATAGATAACTTGGGAAGAAACCCAGTATTTCCAGGTTAAGATCTAAGATGGTACCATTCTCACCTGTAGAAACATCATCATTGTTATTGTCACTTTATTATGAAGGAAAACATTTGCTTAAAATAGCATGATGGTGACACACCAAATGATATACCTAATGTGGCCAGGCTATATTACTAGGTTATATCAGCTTTCAGTGCCATTGTTTATTAAGCAAGACTCAGGTATCATTCCTCAGAGGGCAAGGTTTAAAACTCATCTGTTCACCAAAAGCTAATAGACCTATAATTCTGCTTTCCTAGGACCTAGGAGAAAAACTGTCCAATCTCTTCATTTTCAGCTGATTACAGGTAGTCCTCAACTTTACAACAGTTCATTTAGTGACTGTTCAAGATTACAGCGGCACTGAAAAAGTAACTTATGACAATTTTTCACACTTATGACTGTTGCATCATCCCCATGGTCATGTGATCAAAATTTGGATGCTTGGCAACTGACTCATGTTTATGATGGTTGCAGTGTCCCAGGGTCATGTGATCTCCTTTTGCGACCTTCTGACAAGCAAAGTAAATGGGGAAGCCAGTTCGCTTAACAACTGATTAATTTAACAACTGCAATGATTCACTTAACTATGGTAAGAAAGGTCATAAAAGAGGGCGAAACTCACATAACAAATGTCTCACTTAAATTTTGTGGTCGTAAGTCGAGCACTACCTGTATTCATTTGCCCCTTACATAGCCAATTTGTAAAAGATGTACTATAGAAAAAAAAGCTGTGGGAATGGAATATCCAACCTATACTTTGTTCACCATTGTTTAACTGTGGCTTAAAAATTACTGAATTCATACGATATATTCATCCATAGACATGGTTACAAACACAGTACAGTATGTCAAATCCATTCTAATTTTCTTGTGAATTTGTGATTCAAGCATTTAGAAGGATTACTTTTTCTTCTCTAGCTTCTCTAGTTTGGCATGAAATCATCAGAAGTTGTTTTATCGGTTAAACGGATTTACTGTGGAAAACAATTGCAGCACTATTTATATGCTATTGTTTCACAGTACATAAAAATAGGGAAAACCAATACAATCATTTCTATAAAACTGCCCAGAGTTAACTATAAAATGAGTAGCTGTATAAATGTTTTAAATAAAATAATATGCTCACAAAATGCTGATATATGGAGAGAGCCCATAAAAAGCTTTAAATATAAGGAACTTTTAAACCATTATATTTGGATAAATGATAATAGAATAGTCACTTAGAAGTATTAGAAAAACAAGCTTACTGCCTGATCCCAAGTTTACTCTTTTCTTTCTATAATTGTAGACATCTTGGGAAAAATCCTAATATTCTTCTGTAAATAAAAGTTTTGAAATTCCCAACATGTTTGCATGGCAATGCCAGATAATTTGAAATGCAAAAAGAGGGGAGAAGGATGGACCTCAAATATATTCAATAGGTTTATACTCTTTGGTAGTCTGTGATATTTATTTGGGTGGACGCGTGTATATCAAAACACTATAAAATTAACAATAGACTGTACTGTATTTTACTGGCACCTTCTCAATCTATGTTTTCATCTTTCTTAGTGGTTGCTTTACCAAACTGTTTATTAACAGACACAAAGGGAAAAAGTGACTGAGAGGTTGGCCTATTTGTTTAAGTCATTCTATTCTCTGTTTCTTCCTCCATCTAACATTGATAGTGTATGATGTACTGAGAATCTACTCCAGCCTGACTCGAGGATTCTGGGTAAAATCAGTCACCTTGATCAAGCCGTCTGGCCCGATGCTGTATGGGAAACATGGGGAAAAAATGGCTTAGTAGTACTCTTGCTTATGAAACACACACTCTAAATGTTTCTGACATAAAGTTGTAGCAACATCCTTGTTCTTTCTGTACTGTTTTGATTCCAGTTTTTTTGTTTTTTATTTTAAATCAGGCAGAAACGATAATCAAGGTAGGTTTTGCCCTGATCAGTCTTTGGCATCCTCTAAGTCTTCTCTTCCCCTATTTTTCTTTAAATTACAACCATATAAACTTCATGATAGCTGCGTGGGAACCATCTCCTCTCTATTCCTCTCTCTTAGTTTCTGATTATGAGTTTTTAAATACATACCCATATTTTTTGGGCTATGGATTGTTGGAAGGGATTTTGTAAAATTTCTTAGGAACTAGCAAGGTAATTTAGTATCAGGACATTGATTTTATAACTACATTAAGCATAGGTCATCTAAGAATATTTGACTCTTTAGCTGTAGACAAGCAGTAGCAAATTCTATATCTCTCTATCATCTCCTAAACTGAGACCTGTCTAGATAACATCATTGTTGTGTATCAAGCCAGATTTAAAAAGTTCAAAAACAGTTTTAGAAAGTGTAATGATAGAATTCTTGCTTGCATTGCAGATGACTGTTCATTCTAACTCTTGCTTACAGAATGGGGCCTCACTTTCCCTGGGCCCTTTATTTCCTCTCTCCTTCCATGCCCTCCTCCTGTTTTGGGGAAGTCCTCCAAACCTTTGGAGCAAATTTGAAAGTTAGAGGAAAAGTTAATTGGATTGGCACTAGTTGACAAGCGTAGCTGAAAACCAACACTGAATACCAATGCATTAAATGTGGGGTAAAAGATTTGCTCAGAGTTCCCCAAGTTATTGAGTAACATTCAAAAATGGATCTGCACCTCAGTTAGAAGAAGTAGTCTATACCAGGGGTTGCCAACCCCCAGGCCATGGACCAGCACCGGGGCACGGGATGCCAGAAACTGGGCCTCACAAGCAAGCAAAGCCCCATCTGTGGGATGCAGGCAGTGCACAAAATCATACCCCCTTCAATCCCCGGAAAAGCCTCTTTCCACAGAACCAGTCCCTGTGCCCAAAAGGTTGGAGGGCACTGGTCTATACAGTTATTTCCTATTTAAATAAATGGAATAGGATTTCAGGAAGAATTTGTGAACCTACTTAACATTAGTCAAATCAATGTGTGAAATTTCTATGTACAAGCCTGTAAATGAATTTGCTATATAACTTAGCTATATGTACTCCCCTGAAACCTATTCCATCTACTGCACATTTATGTTGGTTGGCTGCTATTGCTAACATAAGCTACATCTCTTTGACATTTACTTTATGTATCAGTATTACTTACATCTCTTGTTCAATATAATTCAGCATTCGACTGACATGAGATGCGGAGATTTCTCCATCCACTTCCGCAATGTAAGTGTAGAGAAACTGGAAAGTACTGAAAGGTATACGAGCTGGACCACTTTCATTCTCGTTAGATAAAACTTCGCATATTATCTTCAGAGTTTTTGCAATAGTCTGTTTTCAAAAAGAGAAAGGATATGATGTTTATTAGTATTAGTAACTGAGCGAGTAGTCATCACATGTGTAACTCAACTATCCTTTAAAAAATACCTTGGGAATTCAAAATTCTGTGATAGGTTAGGCAGGGCTAGAATGGAGTGTATAATTATGAAGCTTTTGGCATTAGATATTTCCTTGGTGCTTTTCATTTGTTTTTGGTTTTTTTCTGGTTGGCTACATCCACCATAGTGAAATGGCAAGTATGCATTTTCAAGTATCCAATTCCCTGCCTGCCCATCTCCTCTAATACCGCCAAAGAGATCCAACACCATGATCCAAATATGCCAGCAAAACGAGTTAGGGATTCTGTTAACAGCGTTATTGTGAAAATAAAGGACAGTGTTGTGTAAACAAGATACAGGTACAAAAATGATTGGGAGAAACTAATAGATACCATCATAGGAAGCTCAGGGATGCAATTTAATTTTAAATATCTTTATATTAATATGCACACCCACACACATAATTCACAATTAATTCACTATAAATGAGGTTTGGAAATTCGTATAGCTTCTAAGATTTTTCATATTTACAACAGATCTTCAGTACCAAATTCTTATTAAAATTGAGAATCTTGATAGAAGCAGCTCTGGGCAACCTGAATAACCTCACCAAGGGAGGTCTGATTTCATTTTTTTTCCAGACTAGGTTATTATCCCCTCCTGATTTTGGTCAGAATTTTTTCAGATTAACAAATGTTATTAAAAGGCATAAGCTTTCTTGACGAAAGTTTACTTCATTAGATGCATGGAATGACTTTAGAATTTAAATCAGGATAAGATGATGGGGAGATATTTGTAAACTGTCTCACATGTCACATACATCTGCAAAAACAACCTATCTTCCACTCACTCCCCTCATCTTAATTTAAATCCTACATCTGTTTAGCCATTCCATGCAGCTGGTGCAGTGAGCTGTAGCTCACTAAAGTAAATGTTTGTTAATAAGATGTGTTAATCAGAAAATCATTTTGATTTTTTGGTTTCTATAGATTAACATGACTCTTCTAAAGTGTCCTGACTATTGACTAAATCTAAAATGCTAAGTAATATTGGACAAGCAGTTTCAGGGAAGAGTGTTTAAAAATCTTAATGATGTATGATTTGTTACACTATAAAGAACAGTCAAATCACCTACCGAAAATTTAAATACTGCAAACATGCTAGACATCAAAAGAAAAGGAAACAACTAAAAAAAATAAGCTTACAACTCCAAGAGAGCTACAGGCCAGAGCTAAAAACTTGAGCCATTCAATTTCTTCAGTAAAACGTCCAACATTCATGATACTTTCAAATAAATCTGTAGGGAGATTCAGCACCTTCCACATCTGAGCTAGTTCATCAACATGGATGATTAGCCTCCCACCCACCTGAAAAGAAATAACAGCCATTGTAAGTGAATAAATTAATGTGGGTTTATAGTTGGAAGCATTTCTTAAGGTTTTCAAAATTCATTGTAAGGATAGCAGAACTGAGGTATTGTTAAGGAAATTGGGATGTATGTGTAACCATTGATCACTTTTGCAATTGTCTTATTACTGTTTTGAAGCAAAGAATGGGACCGAAATACCATAATGCGCAAAATGAGAGTGGTCTCCACATAATGTACTAAGTCATAATGTATCTCATTTCTTTGTCAAGACTTAGCATCATTGACACCCATGCCTGGAGGAGAGCCCATTCAGAATATGGCCCCAAATTGAAAATAAGCAGAGGGATCAGTACTTTTCATCCAACGAAATGAAACAAATCAATTGAGGTATGATCTCAAAAGCTATTTCAGCATTTGAGATATACCTCCTAGACCCACTCTTTTGCTGGGGCATGGATTTCAATGTATGTACCAAAAACAAGAAGAAAAATGAAATATGATACTGAGAGGAGATGTCCCTGTTTTGAATGGTGCCATGTTTTCTTCTAAGGAATAAGTAGACAGGATGGAAGCACTTTTGAATTTGCATCTTTGGTTTCTCAGATAGAAGCAACAGCCCAGGGATTTTTGATCAGCTGTGGTCGAAATAACAACCATATCCCTTCTGAAAAGAAAATGACTTTAGAATGGTGATCCTCATGTTGTAGCTTGAAAATTAACTATTTTAGTATTCTTTACATGGAGCTGGAGCTGGTAAAAATTGGAATTGATATTGCTCTCAAGTTGGTCTTTGGAAGAATTACAAAGACGGCATTATATCAATGCTAAAAATATTACAACAGATTTTGGGACAAGGGCAAAGTATATGCTGTTTATTATCTTTAAATCTTATAGGTTTCAGGTTCAAAAGACTTGGGAGAACATCTGTTTTAGGAGGCTCCTCCCTTATTCACAGAAAACATCCTAAGGAGAATTTTCCTACAGTGGCTCTGAACTCATTTCACAAATTGACTTCCATGGACCTTACTTCATATTTAACTGGTCAGTAGTGGGGGTGTGCATAAATGCACTAATGTGCCTATTGTCCCTGTCATTGTATTTTTATTCTCTCATTCTTGTTCTCATTTTTGTTTGACAAATTCCAATAAATAAATTAAATAAATAAACTTGGAAAATCCCAGTTCTTTCGGAGACACATTTCTTTGGTTTAAAATCTTGTTTTTTAAAACCAGCTTTTACTTTTTAATTATATGTGTAATTATTACTAACAATGCTGGTTTTAATTTTGGGTGTATATTTTTGGTAAAATATCAAGCAACAGTGGTAGTCCTCAATAAGAATTACAGCCTTCAATTAAGTATTGTAGCAAATAAATACATAAATTCATCTCCCAGCCTTGCAAACCTTCCAGAATTTTAAAAAGTTCAGATTTTTTCAGGATGAATCATATGTGTTTCCACATGCTATAGTGATATACATGCACTACGTAGTTTTCTAGGAAGGACCTTTGTGACTGAACATTGGGATTTTGAATAAATTTTCCACTCTGAAAGCTACCTACAACCTCCAAGAAGAAATTAACCAAATTAACCAAATAGTAAACAGATTGATACATGCACATTAGCATAGGATTTAGAAACCAGGAGGCCATAGATATACACAAAATGCTTCAGGCATTATTTCTCTTTTCTCTCCCAAAATATGTGTAAAGGGAACAAATTCCTTGTTCCAGAAATATCTACAAAAAGAACAACGTTCAATCAGTCAGATGAGTGAGTATAGATGAAGTCCAGCAAAACTTTAAATGGATTAGTTGGATGTAGAAGATGTCTGGTATTCCCAAATGTCCATTATTTCCCAAGAATGTGATTTGCATCTGGTTACACAATTTTTGTGATGATATCATTATGAAAGTGGTATAAACTTCTGTAAATGATTTAAGTAGCTGCAGATGTCACAAAATTAAGGTAAAATTAATGGCCTCACTGGACTACTTTGGATGCGATATCCATTATTTCAGATGAGATGTCCAAACAGAAATTTTGTCTATTGCTTCTAAAATTCACTACCTGAGAATCCATTAGGTTTTATTGTACAGTTAGTCCTCAATGTACGACCACAATTGAGCCCAAAATTTCTCTTGCTAAGCGAAACATTTGTTAAGTGAGTTTTGCCCCATTTTACAACTTTTCCTGCCATGGCTATTAATTGAACCACTGCAGTTCTTAAATTAGTAAAGTGGCTATTAAATTAATCTGGCTTCCCCATTGACTCTGTTTGTCATAAGATTGTCAAAGGTGATCACATAACCCCAAGAGACTGCAACTGTCAGAAATATGAGGTAGTTGCCAAGCATCTGACTTGATCACATGACCACAGGGATGCTGCAATGGTAATGTACATGTGAAAATGGTCATAAATCACTTTTTTCGGTGCTATTGTAACTTTGAATGATCATTAAATGAACTGTTGTAAGTCAAGGACTACCTGCACTTATAACTTCTCATACAATTGCTAGAATTATTTATGATTCAATGTAAAAATAAGTTAAAAATTATATTGGTTGCATGTATTGAGGTCAACATTTCCAGATTCATTGTCTCATCTAACAGGGTTTTTTTTCTTTTATCACATATATGTGTGATCCAAATCAATCCCAAACTGTAAATGAGTACAGATCAGTGGTGGGTTGCCCCCGGTTCGGACTGGTTCACAAGAACCGGTAGTAAAACTGGCGGGAAGCTCCGCCCACCGACCCCGATGTCATCAGGAAGCGATGACTTGCATTTGAGCAAGCGAAGCATGGGTGTGAGCACGGCCACATTGTGAACCGGTAGTAAAGGTATGTACAACCCACCCCTGGTACAGATCATCTGTACTGATCTTTGAATCTACCCGTGTGATGCCCAGAACATTAGAATGCTGCCTTCCTACATTTCTTTCAGGTACTTATGATCAAGTTTTATATATGAGCTACTAACCCCTATGAAGTTGTTATATAATTTTGGTGAGTTCTCATATGTATTTCCTTTTTCAAAATTGGAAATTGCAAAAAGAATTTCTTTCTGTACTGTATATTAAAAGCTGCACAAGATGATATTAAACAAATGTTAATGAACTCTGTGAAATTTTTAAAATAATATTTAAAATATGAACTATTATTTAATCCTTTGGCAATGGTTTTAGAACTTCTTCTATATTATGTAGTATGTAAGAGCCTTGGTGGCTCAGTGGTTAGAGTGCAGTACTGCAGGCTACTTCTGCTGACTGCCGACTACCAGCAGTTTGGCAATTCAAATCTCCTCAGGCTCAAGGTTGACTCAGCTTTCCAGCCTTCCGAGGTGGGTACAATGAGGACCCAGATTGTTGGGGGCAATAGGTTGACTCTGTAAACCGCTTAGAGAGGGCTGTAAAACACTGTAAAGAGGTATATAAATAGAGGTGCTATTGCTATTGCTATGTATATAAGAAAGGCAATGCACCTAAAATTAATTTTAAAGCAGGTGAATCAAATTCATTAAAAAAACAAAAACAAAAGACACAAAGTAATTGGACGCATGTACACACAAACACTCAAATATCTTATGTTCTTGCCCCTAAATGGAAAGTAGATATTTCTTACTCTCTGGTGTAAGACCTTCAAGAGCTCTGGAGTAAGCTCTGCATAATTTGATAAAGGCACTCGATCTGTTCGTTCTCTTACAGGAGGAGCCTCTCCACGGGCCATGGCATTAAAATAACTGGACACAAAGACAAAATAGGTGTTTTCCTTTTATCAACAGCTCTTAGCATAAATATGTGTGAGACAATTGTCTGATTAGTTGCTTAGACACACAAAAGCTTCCAGTTATTTGTAATTAAGTTGACATTAAAATTATTATTTTTATTTCAAATCTTTTGAATCAGGTTCGACATGCTAGTTTTTGTGTTTCTTAGTGTGAAGATTGTTTATTTTGCTATAATAAAAAAAATCTCAGTAAAGTTTGATTGGTGACTTACAAATTGTGAATATAAACAGTACATATTTTAACAAAAGAACATGGTCTGAAAGTATTGATGCTGCTATGGATAATAATGTGATAAAAGACACGAAGGATTATTTGTACATTATAAATGCACCCAATAATGTAGAAGAGATCAAGTACTTCAAGAAAATTGAATTATATGAAAAAACATTAAAATTACTGGTGATAAAACACTACAAAATTAAGGTCACTGAAACTGAGGGAACCCCCCCACCCCCGCAAAAGTATGGTGTGCGCTGTAAAATCTCCTGGGTTGTTATTTTCTTCCAAAGTTACATTATGTAGAAATGTGAGAGATTTGGATTGGAATGGTGGCATTGGGAGACAGAAGCATGAGTTCTGCCTTGTTTTATCTTTTCCAATCAAGATTTTCTCTTCAAAGATGTTTTTTACATGATGCAGGAATCATCATGTTAACAAATATATCTGAAAATATGGAAAGGCACTTCCAAAAATGCAAATGGCAATATTCAAAAACTTGAGGCTTCTCTGTATTTATTGAGTAAAGCAGGGGGAGGAAAATACGTTTCTTTCCAGTAGCAACCCCTTGTATCATATACGTGCTTCTCTACCACAATCTTGTGAGGACATTTTTGAAGAGACACTCAGGCTGCCCATGAGATTTTCAGCACAGTAAAATAATTTTAGGAAGAAAAGTCTGGAATATAAATGGCTTGTATCAGAATTTTTGTTGCCTTATAAAGCCCTAATAATCCCCAGTACTGTATACTCGAATAAACTGACATGAATATAACTGATACTCAAATAAATATATTCATAACTGATTTTTATAAGTTCCAAATAATTTGAGCTATTATTTCTTTTTTGCTTTTTGAGAAAAGTAATACAACTCAGCTTCCTTTTAAATTCCATAGAGAATTCAGAACACATTTTAAAATGTAACAATAAAAAAGGAATAAGTAGGTTAACAGCCTTATGCAACATTCAGCATTCCCTGCTAATAGTACAAACAAAATATTGGTCTGTTTTTGGAATATTTTACCTAGTGTGTACCACAAGCACAACCAAAGTCCAATTTTATCACAAGCACGTTCAAACACTATTCTGTACAAATTGTGATATTATACACCAATGAGTTAGTTGGAAGCTGGTTGCTGAATGAATTAAAAAAACAATGAAAAAAGAAGTAAAACATGTTTGATAATAAATACATGGATAGCAAATGATTCTGTATTAAAATATCTCTTTAGTTTGTTTACGAGTAAAAATGTAAAGAATATCTGTGATGATATTGTAAGTGTACCCTTTGGGGATGCGAATGTCTGAATTGTTATATGTTATAAATTATGTTGTTGATTTAAAGACTTAATGATGCATAGCAAATGTTAAATTGTATGATGCAGTAGGGAGTGTATATCTGAAAATTACAGCATAGTACTGTATATGCTAAGTAAGTATCTAGATTCTAGAAGTGTACAATATATGATAGTGTGTGTTTTGTGTGTGTGAGGGGGGTAGGAGAGGGAGATTGAGAGAGAGAGAATAATAAATGCAGGACATATAAAAATGACATACAAGATACTATAACAGATACAATTTAGGCTTGAGTAACTTTTAAATAACCATGATACTGAAGTTGGCAAAAACATTCAACTTACTCAGAAGACCATTGAATCAGGTCTGGAGGCTGAGTTCGAATAGCAGCTTTTGTAAACTGCTTCAGCAAATCTGGAAGCTCTGGAGGAATACATACTTGTTTATCTGTCTGTGGCATAATTATTGTGCCTGTTAGGAAAAACAGCAATTTTGGAAACCTTATTTATATAGAAAACTCAACTATTAAGAAATCTACAAAGTACAGAATCCTGATTGTGAAAGACTTTGCATATGTGTATGATCTGCATAGGCCAAACTTATATCTTCAGAATCCTTATGAAGGTTTAAGAGCAACAGAGATCATTTCCATGTTTGATATATACTTTCATGGAATATTGTTATAATGCAGATTACTGATGAATCCAAATACGCTTTTAAGGGACAGCCCAGTTCTTGCTATTAAAGCTATAGATTACATTTTAGCTTGATTTAATTTATCAGAATAAATTCTGGCTCAAACTACCTATTACACACAAACAGAACCATAACTGGAAAAGTCCGGTTTGCAAAACATGAATTACTACAACTAGGTATAAAGGAGGATAGATCTTTTCTACCCTTAATAGCTATTCACAAAACACTATACTTGCTGAACATCCCCCTTTAATGAACAAATATTACAAGTAAAGGAACTCTATATATATATTGGGGAAGACGCATTCTTAAACCAAAATCAGTTTTATATAACTATTGCATATTCATGGCTTATTTAATTAAAATTTCTAGTTTTGCATGGGACACTGAACTGATCCCATGGTTTATTTTTGACAACAAACAGACTGTGAAATATCTTCTTTGTCGCATTTTAATCCCCTTTCAAAATATTTTAGATTAATCAATTATGTAAAGGGCTATTGAAGTTCCTGCAGATGTCAAAAGGAAAAATGTGGGAGTTTTGTTTAAGCTGTACAGGTGGACTTGCAACAAGATCTAGAATAAACAGGAGGAATCATTTTTGAGATTTGCTCAGCTGCTTGGATGGAACAGCTTTATGGAGAGGAATGTGGATCAAAAGTAGGTATGCAGAAATGATTATATGAATATATGAGACAGTGCTTTCAGGTTTACTAAAAAGGAAAAGGTATACAGTTATTTCCATGACAGCTACGTTCCTGTTGAAAAAATAGTCTGTTCTCAGACAAATGTACCTCTAAACTAAAAGACGTAAAGCTTCTTGAATGGATCTTGTACTCTCCAGATGCTGAAATGATGAGGAGTGGATTATCCCAATATTTCCTACAAGGAAGGATACTAACAATTGGGTTTAAAGCGGGGAAAAGGGGAGCATGTTCTGCTTTTATGAACAATGCAAAAGCCAGTTGCTACTTCCTTTCTATAGAAAACCTTGTCTACTTCCAAATATATGTTATGATTTGTTTTATGACTGGGAAAACAGGAATCCACAAAATCTGAATGATGATTTTGGGTGACTGCATGCAGCAATCACCCAACCCTACAGTCATCCTAAAGATACCTAAAAGAAAGATGGTACTCAAGAAAATGAAGAATATGTGCAATATGGCTAAAGAATATGGTGCAAAATGGCTGAAGTGATTTTTGCAGAAATATATTTTTTTTCAGTGCCTACTTAGTACGACCCATTTGCCCATTTGCACATGTATATTTTCCGGGTGCTCTATCCCGTTCTCAACAACCTGTCTTCCTTAATCCTATCCAGACCCTGGCAGTTGTTCCACCACCTCGGCATACTGTCCCCCAATAATAAATCCCTCCTCAATGCCTGCCATAGGCTTTGCGTCCAACAGGTTCCTTTACTTTCAGGGAGAAGCAAAACAGGTTAAGAATTTGATCCAGATGGCCAGTTCCTTCCTTTTCCTCAATTACCAGAGGCTGAGACGTCTCAGCCTCTTTGCGAAGAATGCCCAGCTGCTGTTTTGGGACAGTCACACCAGGCTCAATCGGGATCTTCACGCAGCTCCCACTCACGATGGGCCCTTGCATTAAGTCAGGACTGGGGCGTTTGTTTAACTGCAGCTCTAGGTATCCTAGCAACTGAGACTGTACCTCACAAAAGGCCTGATTCTGTCAGCTGCTCTTTCAACCAGTCAGGAGAAAGACTTGTGGAATGCTCAGCAAGCAAGGCAGGGCTTTTAATATGGCGAAGACATCTATGTGCCCTAGACTTTGAATTGTGACCAGCCCCCCCAACTTTTAGCCTTACTACCATGTTTTCCTGAAAATAAGACATCCCCTGATAGTAAGCCCAATCGGGCTTTTGAGCGCTTGCACTAAAATAAGCCCCTCCCCCAAAATAAGTCCTCCCTGAAAATAAGCCATCCCCGAAAATATTTAAACGCATGCGCAGCCAGTCCCCGCCATTTCCTCTACTTAGGGTTAGGGAGACAGAGCTGGAAATCAGGTAAAACGGCAAGAGGAGCCTCATCTTACCCCATGCGCCCCAAAATAATAAGACCTCCCTGAAAATAAGGCCAAGTGCTTATTTCGGGGTTCAAAAAAGATATAAGACAAAGTCTTATTTTTAGGAAAACACGGTAAGGAAAATAGTTGGGTGCATTCTGCGCCCTCTAATGACCACTTGGCATTTGGGGATCCTGACTGAGAGGATGATTCATGGGAAAGGCAGGGATCTAGCAAAGAGGACAAGGAAGAAGAATTGCGATGCAAAGGAAAACAGGGTCACTTGGAGTGAAAAGAGGAGATGGCAGCATTATTGTGGGCTGAGGTATTCCGGTGGCCGCTGTGGCAGTCTAGGATTTGCCTCGGAAGAGGTTGCCAAATTAGGCCAGGGAGAGAATTGTGGCCAAGGCTGCCTTTTGAAGGAGGAAGGATGGTTTGCTTGATGGATTTTGCTGGTCAAGCTGACGGTTTTGATGAAATGTGAAAAGCCACACATTGTTAAACTCAATTTTCTATAATACTTGGGAGGAAACAAAGAATATCTGGAAAATATTTGCCTAGCTGGTTGAATATGACCCTAAAATGCCTAGTTGCTATAGCAGGTGCATGCAGCGACCATTGGCTGAAGGGTTGCAATGGGGTTTGGCTAGAGTTAGGACCTCAAGTATTGATGGGATTACAAGGCTTGGAGATGAAAGGGATGATGCCTTGAATATTCTGGATGACAAGAAGGGCAGCATATAAATCAAATCAATAAAATGCCTGTAAAATTCAACCACTCATTTTTCTTCTTAAAGTCTACAAAAGCATCCCACATATGAAAGAAGCGGGTTAATTTTGAGTTCCTCTGAGGTCCCAGAGAAGGGATTCTGGCACACTGCATTCTCTGCACCCTGAACTACAAAGGAATATGTTGGAGTGAATCTCTGCAGCTGAACACTTTGGGAAATTAAAGAACTCCATCACTGATTCCCAAGGAAACCTGTCCAGCAATAATATATTTATTATGCTGTTGACAAACTGCAGAGACCTAATAAATGCATGTATACACAGTAGAAAATAAGTTTCAAATACCCTTCCAATTACATTCAAGTCACAAAGCCCTACCAATCTGGGAAATACAGACAGCTTGCGGCAAAACATATCAGTAAACTACCATACACATTTCTCTAAATTAAAAGGCAGGCTGCAGATGCCTCAGATAAATAAACACAACAACACAAGGTCTACTGATCTATATTATTGGAAATATAGAACACAGCTGAGGCTAATAGTATTTTAATACCGGGTAGAAGTAATTAGGATCCTCCATTTAATTTTCGTAGTTTGGCAACAAAGGCTTGTTTGTTATCATCCTGTTTGTTATGGACAGGTGTATTTAAAAAGCTTTTTAATGTCCCCAATTTGGTTTATGGATCAGCTCAAAATCTTAGCTGCTGGGACCACACATTGCGTTCTATTGGAAAAGAAGATGATATAACCTTACCTTGTAAGCCGTCCAGAGCTACCTTGTGATGAGATGGGGGGGGGGAATAAATTTAATTAAATAATGGATTGCAAGAAAAATAATTATCTATTAACAGTATGCTGGCATAGATAGCTTGCTTCATAGTTCTGTATGAAAGGAACTATATTTTTTCCAGGGCAAGAAGTAGTGCTAAACACATAAAGCAGACAACTTTCAAATGAGTTTATATCCTTTTAAAGGGCAAAGAATGAATATGAAACAGATCACAACATTTAGCCTGCAAATCTCTTTGACAAAAAGAATGTGAGTAAAAGTGCTAACAGAAATATATGCACAGTAACTTGAAGAGAAATGGCTTGGCAAAGCACACAGAAATCATCCACTATGTTGAGCAGGTGGAATAATATTTTTCATTTGTTATGGGGATAAGATTGAAATTTGTCTCAGTATTCACTCTCTTTCACATAAACTGTATGATAAACTGACAAAGCAAAACGGGTTTGGTAGAATCCATTTGGAAGGATTATTGCAAAGAAAGCTGCACAAAGCTTCTAAACCATTATGCCCTTAACACCCCACTACTAAATAAAGATTATTTCATGGATTTATTTATTTTTTTGTCCTTCATTGTCCGGATCCATTTGATTTAATCTCTGACAGTGTTACACTTAGAAGCTGGGGATATAAGGGCAAAATATAGATTTAGAAAAAGGGGGTTGGGGAACCAATTTAAAAGGCAGTTTTGACATTCTACCCCAGCAGTTTACAATGAACCACAGGTGGCAATTCAATATGTGGTTTATTTTATTTTAATTTATTTTAATCCTGCCTTTATTATTTTTTATAAATAACTCAAGGTGGCAAATATAATGAATACTCTTTTCCTCCTCCAATTTTTCTCTACCACAATCACCCTATGAGGTGACTTGGGCTTAGAGAGAATGACTGACTTAAAGTCACCCAGCTGGCAGAACTGGAACTCCGTCTTCTGGTTTCTTGCATGGTGCCTTAACACTAATTTTTATGCCAAGAAAAAAAGCACTCTGTGTGTGTGCGGGGGCTGAGGGAGAGCTGGAAGGAAGAGAAAGCAGTTACTGAGAACTTGGAAAATAATTGCAGTGTTATTTTGTTCTGTACAATGCACAGAAAAAGAAGGAGAGCAGAAGGGCAAAAGAAGGATACTGATACAAGAATAGTTTGCTAATCATCATGACTTAGTAATTAAAGCTTTCACATAATGTTGTGTTAAATGCACTGTACCCTGGTAACAGTATAGAAACAGTGCTAGCAATTTAGACCTATTTTGGCCAACACGTGCAACCAAAGCCAAGCATGCTTGCTCTATTCCAATCAAACTAAGATCTCTAGTCTCCAGGCTAGCTAACAAGCCACTATGCCATGGGTGTCAAACTCACGGCATCATGTTGCCGTCACATGACATTTCGTGACATTTTTCCCACTGGCGGAGCTGGGTGAGTGTGGCCTACGCATGATGCTTCCAGCCCATAGGCCGCCAGTTTGACACCTCTGTGTGACTACGTTATTTCCTATATCTTACCAACTAGGACAGGGGTTTCCAAACTTGGCAACTTTAAGACTTATGGACTTCAACTCCCAGAATTTCTCAGTCAGCCATGTTGCCAAGTCTTAAAGCTGCCAAGTGTGAAGACCCTAAAGTAGAAGATAACATGCAGTATGCAGTAATCTATGGTTTATGCCTTCACACTTGGAAATATAGGACAGAAGTATTTATCATGGAAGAAAATAAATGCAAAATAACTGAGTATCACCTATAACCACCAATTATTTTTTAGACCCAGAGTTGTTCTAGTTCGTGATAGACAAACAAAGTCAATTGTGAAGGCCAGATCATCTATGTTTTGATCCTTAAATACTTCCTTTTTTAAAAGACACAGCAGAACAATAAATGCAGCTACTCTCTATCCACTTTATTCGAGATCAAATACAAAGAAAGAGCTAATACACTGATGTTAAGGAATCATGTTTGTAAAGAAAACAATCACCTTTCTTAACCTGGGAGCCTACAAGTTTTTGCCTTCCATAATCTCTGCTAAACTTCACTAGGTATTACAGGAGCCGAAGTGAAGCACATCTGGAGAGCACCAGAAAGCTGTGGGTCTAAAGTTGGTACTTGTGACAAATAGTAATGTAATGTGACAGCTATTATTAAATGAATGGGTAAATCTAATGATTCTTCTTACCCATTTTGTACATTTTGTACAGGACTTCGGAAACCTTTTAGGGTTAAAAGAACTTATCATAAATATAACCTTGAAGTTCAGCTTTATGTATTAAAACTTCAAATGGCACTCCTACAAGCAGATAATTGAAAAAGCCAAGCAAAATACCAAAGAATTATGACTTTTTCTTATAACTGTGAAAACCAATGAATACAAGGTCACAAGCAAACTGTCTTGATACCAAATTAGTCTGTTACTAAAAGGAAAGACAGATGGAAATCTCATCAAAAAGAGGGTGACCTTAAGACTGTAACAGCACATGCCTAGGCCAAAAAGTACAAGAATTTGAAGCTTGATTTCACTATAAATAGGACTTGCATTTGATACACAGCTGTCACCAGAATTCTTTCTTAACGGCTTCATGAGCTTTTCTACAATAATTTATCAAAGCATTTTGTGTCCTTGAAAATTTAATTTTGCATTAGAAAGAAGCCTAACAACAACCTTCATTCTTCTTCACTAAAGCCAGCCAGGAAAGGATTCTATTTTCCCCAATTTCTTATTCATTCACACCCCAATTAATTTTAGTTCAATTTTCAGCTTAATTCTCTGACTCTTACATAAAGCTTTCCCCAGAGGTGGGTTTCAGCAGGTTCTGACCAGTTCTGGAGAACCGGTAGTGGAAATTTTGAATAGTTCGGAGAACCAATAGTAAAAATTCTGACTGGCCCTGCCACCATCTATTCTCTGCCTCCGAAGTCCCAGCTGATCGGGAGGAAATGGGGATTTTGCAGTATCCTTCCCCTGGATTGGAGAGGGAATGGAGATTTTGCAGTAACTTTCCCCTGGAGTGAGATGGGAATGGAGATTTTACAGTATCCTTCCCATGCCACACCCACCAAGCCCTGCCCACCAAGCCATGCC